CTCATACAGGGTGACAACACTCTGATTGCGCAGGAGCCCCTCGAAGACCTCGCTCTGGAGGCTGAGCAGCAGCTGGTGGGTGTGGAAGACCTTGGCCTCATCAGAGGCGGCCGTGCGCACCCGCAGCACCGAGTCGCTGCTGTTGCCATTCTGCAGCAGCTCCTGCAGCCTCTGCAGCAGCGTCAGTGAGTGGTTGATGGTGGCTGCAGTGGCATCGCCGCCAAGGTCAGCTTTCTGAGCTGTGGGGAGGTGTTACTGTCCCACTGCTGTGCCCCAGCACCAGGCACAAGAGGGCAGGATTTGTGGCTAACAGGGTGCTGGGGAAGCTTTGCTTTGTGTGCATCCTCCCTTTGCTCCCCACAGTGCCAAAGGGTTGGTTGCTGCCAAGGGTATGTGGGAGGACAAGGGGACATAGAGACAGCTGTCTTTTTGGGAGCCAACAAGTTGCCTTTCTGCAGCAGGACTGAGACCACCATGTACCAAGCTGGGACGTGCTGGGAAATGGCCCTGTGCCTGGCACGCTGGCACACAGCCCGGGCTGCCAGCCCTCTCCTGTCCCCATGTGGGCAGAGCGTGCCCTGAGAACTTGCCCCAGACCCCAGCACTCCCAAGTGGGCCGACATGGGGGGGCATATGAGGTAGGTTTTGGGACTCCCTGCAGGCTGAGGTACCAGTGGCCCCACTGCAGTAGTGGGTGCTGCTAGGATGGCAGCATACTGTGCCTGCTCCCAGCGTGATCCCTGCCTCTTCCTTGTGCCATGAATCCACACCTCCCATGCACAGGGAGAGTGTTGCAAGGAGCTCTGTTCCTGTGGGTACAGGGAGCCTTCCTCCTGCTCCTCAGCCTCCCACATGCTTGGCACACCTCCCGCTTCCTCCCCAGCTCATCTTGATGAATTTGGCTCCATCTCTCCAATCTGCTTCTGGCCGGCTGGCAATCCCACAGATTACCCATCCCAGTGCCGGCTTAAGCCCAGCTGAGCAGGGATCAGGAGGCAATCGCGGTCCCTTGTCTCACAGTGCTCACAGTGCCGAGCCCTGTGCTGGGCAGCCGGACCTCCCCGAGGGGCACAGCACACCCAGGAGCCACATCCATCCCCCCCCACAGCACAATGTCTGCCAGAGAGCCGCATTCAGCCCTAAATCACCGCTACAGCACAAAGAGTTGGGGGACCCAGGGACCCCTCCACGCCTCCCCCCACCACCGCCGCCCTTACCAGCCTGCACGGTGAGGAGGAGGAGGAGGAAGGCGGTGGCAGCGCAGCCCCAGCGGCGGGCGGCTGGGGGCCGGGTGCCCGTCAGCCTCGCCATCGTTTCGCATCTGCCGGGGCGCGCGGTGCCCGACGGGCGCTTATGTAGGCCACGAGCCCCCCCAGCCCGCACCGCCACATCGATTGGTGGAAACTGGGACCCGCCGTTACCAAGGGAACGGCTTCCAGCCCCGATCCATCCCACCCCGGCCCCCAGCCCCACATCCCAGGGCGTCGTGCTCCAGCGAGCCCCGAGCATAACGTGGGATCATTGCCGCTCACCGCCGTCGGACGGCGCCGGTCCCGTGCGCAGCCACAGCTCTTTGTGCTGCGGGGACGCACTGGGGCTTTTGCATTCAGGGCACAGTGCGTGCAGCCTCCCGGCTCCCCCAGCTCATGGGTATTCATGGAGGCGGCAGCCCTCGCCCTCCCATCACCATGGCATCGGGCTGCCGGCAGGAACTGCCTGCCCTTTTCCCAGCCTTTGCAGCCAAGACACTGCGTGCGCTCCACGAGTGCCCGGTGCCGGCCCTCGCTGGCCCCTCGCCCACCCCGACGGCTCGTGCAGGGCTTTGCAATGGCACGGGGCACCAGAAATGAGATGAAGACGGGCATGGGGGTGGGGGTGGGAAGATAGAATGAGATAGGAATGGGATTTCAGTCCGTCTGTGAGGCACCTGGGCCACCCCTCCAGGAGACACCACCGAACGATGCTGTGACCTTCAGCGTGTGGCAGTGGCTCGGGCTGGAGCCACACAGGGGAATATTAGCCAGTTCCCTGTTATCGAGTAGCTGTCTGAGCTGATGGGATTAGTGCTGGCGTCGGCGTTATTGCAGCTTTGGTGTTAAGCTGCTAAGTGAAGCGCAAACTCAACGAGGCTGCCGAGCATTTCACGCTCGCTCCCCGCCCCGCTGCTGGCAGCGCGGCACCCGGCAGCTCAGTGCAAGAAGGATGCTGTGAGCACAAGGAGTGCATGGGCACAAAGGCCAGGAGTGCATGCAGCAGGGCAGCATGGCTGCGGCATTGGCCGGGACTCTCCGCAGGGTAGGGAGGCTGTAGCCAAGCAGGGGGCGCTCAGCCCATCTGCCCCTTTTGCGTCAGAGCGCCCGGCCCCGGCACGGTGCCACCACAGCCGGGGGTGTTCTCATGCCGGGGAGGGCACTTGAGGACAGGGGCCAAATCCAGAGTGTCTGGAGGAGGATGGGGATGGGGGATAAGGAGCTCGATCCTCGAGCACAGCCTGGTGCAGGGGGGTGAAGGAGGAGCGTGGGATTAAATGGGGTCTCCAGATGTTGAGTGCCGGCAGATGTGGCTGCAGCTCAAGGGTAGGCTGCCCATCTGGCTCTGCTCCACTGAGGTGGGATGGAAGATGAGCTGCCCATCAGCTGCGTGCTGCTCTCCCAGCCCCCCCAGCCCCTCATGGGGGCAGCAGGGACAGAAGGGGACAGGGGTACAGAGCACCTGGCCCCTCAGATGTGCCCAACCAGCAGCTCTGCAGCCCGGCAAGGCAGGTGACTCAAGGCACAGCACAAACAGAGCAAACAGTGTGGGTGCACTTTCCTGCTGCAACGGGGAGCGAGGGCCAGGTGGGCCAAGGGGCCCCGCAGCGGCACAGCCTGTTAATGGCTCACCACATCTGCTGCTGCCTCATTTAACCACCCGCCTGCAAAACAACAGCTTGCCTGGAGCGTGTGCCTGGCGGCACTGTGCCAGCATGGCTCCGTCCTGCAGGGTCCCCCACTGTGCCTGGCCAGGAGCTGTCACCCTGCAGTTGGACACAGGGCAGGGCAGCGCAGGCTGCAAGGTTGAGGGATGTGGGGACCATGGGGACAGTGCTGGCAGTGTTGTGTTCAGCCCCTAAACCTCATGGGATGGAGAAGGTGCTGCACTGGCTCCGTGAACTGCAGACATGTGCCAGGCAGCTCATGCAAGCAGGGGACACCAATGTCCCCACCGGCAGCTCCTACATCCCTGTGCTGCTGGGGAAACCGAGGCACAAGCAGACTTTCCCTGCAGCATGGCCTCCACACGAGGGGACTGGAGTAGTACACACATGGCATGGACAGACACGTGTGAATGCACACACATGCACATACACACTCAGATAAACCCAGACCTGGCTCAGGAGTGAGGTTGTATCCATCTGTCCTGGAAGCAAGGAAGGAGCCTGTGCTGCGGGAGGGACAGCAAAGTGTCAGCTCCTGTGTTCCCCTGAGCCTCCAGGTGAGCAAAACACTGTGCACCTGCACGGTGACACGGGAGCAATGCTGCACCCAGAGCACCGTCCCTGTCATGGGTGGGGATGAGCTCTATCCCCGAAGCTCAGCCTCCCCAGGGGCCCCCATCCGCAGCTCGGGGGCAGCAGCGAAGCTCGGGGCCATCCCATCCCGCGGCTCTGCCCACGCCGCTCTCCCTCCGCCCCACGTCTCCACGCACCCCAGGGGCTGTGCCATGCTGCGGCCACCAGCGGGAACAGACACGCACTGAAGGTGGCACCGCACGCCAAGAGGGTGGCACGAAAGCCACCAAGGTGAGAATCCACCGGGCACAGGAGTGGGACCTCGGGTAGAGGAGGGGAGCGAAGGACCTGGACGGGACCCCTGCCAGCAGGCACAGCGCCTTTCTGCAGAGTGAAGGGCTCAGGGCTAGGGAAGGGTTAATACGATCCTGCCGCAGCCGATCGATGCCCGTTTCCCGGGGGCCACAAAGAGACTGGGCTCGCTGATTAGCCGGATCTAATTTTCAGTTAATTAGCATCAATCTCCTCTCCCACACAGCCCCGGGGGTTGGGGGTCTGCTCGGGTCGATGCTGGAAAAAGGGGCCAAGGCCAAGCCCCCAAGGCTCGCAGGGATGGAAGTATGGGGACCCCCCTATTGCCCCCTCCCGGTCCAACCCCAGGCATTGCGGGGGGCTGGGGGCAGGCGCTGAGCGGGAGCCCGGGCGGAGCTTGGCGCGGGGGTCGCGATGCTCCCTTGGTCCCGAAGCCGTCGGGGCTTGGCCGAGCTCGGCAGCTGGGGGGCACTGAGGGCCTGGACCCCCTCAGTGGGCGAGGGGGCAGAGGAGAACGTACAGGGAGCTGAGCAGCGGGGGCTGAGCTGAGCCAGGGCGGTATAGAGGCCACGGAGGGACGGAATGGGGACAGCATGAGGGGTCGGGCTGGGACACGGCCCTCCCGGTCTCAGGACCCCAAGGCTCCATGCCGCCCCCCGACCCCCGCCGCCGCCCGGGCACTAGGACCCAGCTTCCCGCGGGAAATGCTAATTTGGGACCATTCTAACCAATCACAACGCAGCGCTCGGGTGTGGCGTTCCCCCGCTCTCGCAGGAGGCCTCTCTGATTGGCCGCAGCCTCGCGCCCTCGGGCCAATAGGAGCGCGGGGCGCGGGGCGGGGGTTTGTGAATGGGGTCGGGCGCGGGGCCGCATCCCGCACGGGGCTTTGCGGGGTCACCCCTGGCACCGCCATCTCCCGGCCCCGCATCTCCGCGGCAGCCGCCCAAGGACATCTTGTTTTAAGCCACCTTTCTTCGAGTCGATAAAACGGGGCCGGGGAGATAAACAACGATCACATCCGGCAGCAGAACCACGCTGATGTCCCCGAGAGCGCCGTGTCCTACAGCTCTAAAACGCGCCATCAGGCATGGGGCGAGCTGAGCCACCCCGGTGTCCCCGTGCCATGCCCCCGCCGGCGGTGCCCTCACCTCCCTGAGTCTCCCCGTGTTCCCCCGCAGCCGACGCGTGGTGGAGGGCGATGGTCCCGGTGCCCAACAGCACGGCGGTGACATGGCCGGAGCCGGAGCAGTCGCCCTGCATGGTTGGCATCTTCCCTGTCGTGTACTACAGCGTCCTGCTGGGCCTGGGGCTGCCAGGTGAGGTGTTGGGGGATGCCAGGGTTAAAGGGGCAGAGCTGCAGCTCCCGCCTGACCCCACAGGTTTTGGGGTATGGGGTCTCTATGCTCCCCGCAGTGCCACTCGCCTCGGTGTAACCCCAGCCCCATTGGTGGGTGCCACAGCAGCGGGGACAGACGGTACTTGCATTGCTGGGGCTGACACATGGAGGGGATTAATCAGCTCTGTAAATCCCCATGGCACCACGATATTTATAGTTCCCCAGCCCCCCCCTTGCACCCCACCAGGCACTGTGGAGCTGAGCGTGGCACCGGGGGGCTGTGAGCCCAGGGTCTGCGCGCCCATCTGGCACCGCTCCCCTCCCTCCAGTGAACGTCCTGACAGCCGTGGCCCTGTCCCGCCTGGCCACGAGGACCAAGAAGTCATCATACTGGTACCTGCTGGCCCTCACCACCTCCGACATCCTCACCCAAGTCTTCATCATCTTCGTGGGCTTCATTCTGCAGACGGCCATCCTGGCACGGGCGGTGCCTCGCGCCTTCATCCACATCGTCAACGTTTTGGAGTTCACGGCCAACCACGCCTCCATCTGGGTCACCGTCCTGCTCACCGTGGATCGCTACGTGGCCCTGTGCCACCCGCTGCGGTACCGCGCCGTCTCCTACCCCCGCCGCACCCGCAGGATCATCGCCGCCGTCTTTGCCGTGGCTCTGGCCACCGGCATCCCCTTCTACTGGTGGCTGGACGCCTGGCGTGACGCCGATCCACCCACCGCACTGGACAGGGTGCTCAAATGGGTGCACTGCGTCACCATCTACTTCCTGCCCTGCAGCATCTTCCTGGCCACCAACTCAGTCATCATCCACAAACTGAAGCAGCGCGGACGCTCCGGGAGACGCCGGCTGCACCGGGGCAAAACCATGGCCCTCCTCCTGGCCATCACCACTGTCTTCATCGTGCTCTGGGCTCCCCGCACTGCTGTCATGATGTGCCACCTCTACGTGGCCTCGGTCAAGCGGGACTGGCGCGTGCACCTGGCCCTGGACATCGCCAACATGGTGGCCATGCTCAACACCACCCTCAACTTCTTCCTCTACTGCTTTGTCAGCGAGACGTTCCGCCGCGCCGTGAGCGAGGTGCTCTGTGGCCACACGTGGCATGGCCTCCGCCACAGCGGCGCCCGCTTTGTGCCCCCAGCCCCGAGCCCACTGCAGCTGCTGGGCACGGCGTGCTCAGCAGGGTGCTGCCACCAGCCGAGGGTCTCGGTGCTCACCCAGCACCCAGTGGGATCACGCTTGAGGGATGCAGCCCCGCTGTGCCCACACCCGCAGAGCTGCGGTGCTGGGGGTGGTGGGAGCTCACAGCTGCTCTCCAGCTCCAACGACACAGCAAACCTGCGCCCAGGGCTGGGCCCAGGTGAGCTCTGCAGCCCCGGGGAGGAGGCAATGTGATGGGGTCGAGCTCTCCTGCATAAACTCCGATGTTCGGTCTGTAATGCTGCGTGGGTCTGGCTCTGTCTGAGTCCCTCTGCTCAGCCTGGTGCCCTCGGGGTGCTGCAGTTCTGTGTGACCCGGCTCCCCATGTCCCCACTGCGTGGCACGCACACAGCTCAGAGCCACGCTCTCACTTACACCACCACACTGCTGCAGTGCTGAGCAGCCGGGACCGTGCCAGCCTGCCTGTCCCCAGCTGCCACCAGAGGGCAGGGACAGGACGCCCGGCAGAGCTGGCACAGGCAGCAGCAGGGAGCTGGCACCCTATGACCCATGGGAGCAGCCGGGTCCGGAGCAACAGCCCTGCCTGCCCCACTTTCCATCCTAATTCTCGCATAAGGTCCTTACTATAATCCCCCCCAAACAGAGCGGCCTTTCCACTGTAATTCCTCATAAACCAGCACCCATGGAGCTGCCCCAGTGCTGGGGGCTCAGATGGCCCAGGAATATTTGGGCTGCCCCAAGCATGGCACAGAGAGCAACCCAGTGCTCTGCGCCCACCAGGCTGGGTGCAGCACTGGGGTGGGATGGGGCACAGTAGGATGCCCACCTACCTTTGCCCCCACTGCACAGAAGATGAGCCCAGGATGACCTCATGATGTGGGGCTGACCCACACGGGTACAGGCACACATCCAGGGCAATGCTCCTCACACTCTGCAGCCTTGGGCACAATGCTGACCCCTGCATTACACCGGGGGGGTCCGGCCCCCACTGCCCTGCTCTCACCAACAGGGTTCAGCCCCAGCCTCGCAGGGGTGGGTGGTAGCCAGGAGGTGCTCGCTCCATTAATTCTGGCATTTCAGGAGAGAAGGACTGGGGCCGGATTAGACATTAACCCAACGGTGAGCACCTCCTGCCGCCCCGCACCCTCCTGCAGGATTTCCCACCCCATAACCCGGCCAGGGGCCGCACTGTGGGGCTGTGGGGGGCATGAGGGCCTGGCTGGGAAGGGCAGCACTGAACCCAAGCGCCGTGCGGAGGCCAGGGCTGCCGCCAGCCCCCCCTCGCCCGGCGCTTATTTACTTGGAGAGGGAGGTGGAAACGTGCAAACCGCGTCCGCCTGCAGAGAGGGGCTCCTTTCTGGACAGAACCAGCTCAGATGGAAAACAGCTCTCCAGCCCCAGCGTAAACAGAGGTGGCGGGCAGGGTGAGCACGTGGCCCCCCCTCAACCCCCAGGTACGGCCCTCACCTTCGCCAAGGTGAGCTGGGGCTCGGCCGCCGCGCTGCCGTCAGCTCGGCCCTGCGGCTCTGCAGAGAGGTAAGCCTGGAAAAAATGCGCCCGGCGTGCCCATGTTTTCGGAACGGGCCCGCTCCTGTCCTGCTCAGAAGCCTGGCTCTGATTCCTGGCTGTGCCGAGCGCTGCGGGGCTGGGAGACATCCGGCAGTGCTGTCTTGGAGGGCTCAGCCCCCAGCACAGCAGGGCACCAGGGCTGGGCTCTGCCCTCGCTCGCACCGTGCCAGGCACCGAACGCCCCAGCCTTACAGCTGTATCGCACCCGGCTTACCCCACAGAGGGGTGTTGCTGTGGGTTTTGTAGGAGCTACAAAAACACCTCCTGAGAAACAGCAGGGGTGCGCAGCGTGGGTTGGACCAGCCGGTGTGGGAGCGTGTGGGCTCCACGGAGCAGCCACCGTGGGATGGGAGCCGGTGGGGCCGGGGGGCTGCGGGGCCGGGGCTGCTCTGAGCAGCGGAAGGAAGCACTGCAGGAAGCCGCGTGCAGCTCGGCCTCTGTGCAGCCCGGCGCTGGGGCAGCGGAGGCGGTGGGGAAGCGGGGCCTCGCTCCTAGGCAGAACTCGACTTCCTGGGGAAACTGAGGCACACGGGGTCATGGCAGGAGGCGGGGAGGCAGCGGAGCCCCTCTGCAGGGCGCTCAGCGCTGCTCAGTGCTTGTGTGAATGCACACACGTGTGTGTTCCCAGCGGGGAGGGACGATCCTGCCCCAGTGCGGCGCTGGGAGCCAGGCGGAGGCAGGCAGACGGTGGCTGTGGGTGCTGCTCCCCGTGCAGTGGTGTCACCGGCTCCAGCTCCTCGGGTTGTTTTCATACCATCCCGGGCTGGGGGAGGACCTGCCGGCGGCACGGTGAACTTTCGGCTGCATCCTTTACCGTCTTGCTTCACCCTCCCAAAATAGCAGGGCCCGCCTGGAAACCTCCTCCGGGACTGGCAGAGCAATGGGTGCCCTGAGCCTCAAAGGGGCTCTTCCCCTTTCCTGAGCCCCAAGGATGGGGTGGCTGTGGGTGCCATGGCCGAGACACGGGTGCAGCCTCGCTGCTGGGACCACCGAGCCCCGAACCCCCGCAGGAAAGGCTCACCCAAAAGCGGTGCCAAGGGCTCAGCCGTCAGCTGACATTCCTCCGGGAGGCCCCTCGGGCCGCCGCCCGGAGCTGCTCGGCTGCGGTTACAGCTCGGTGTGATGCTGCTCCGGCACGGTGTGCTGCGTCCCCGGCACCCGACTGTGCTGAGACCCCACCAACTCATTACACCGGTGCTCGAATTCGCTCCGTGCTCGCTTCCACCCGGCGCTCGGTCCTTTCGTTTTGGGAGACGGTCCCCATCCCTCTCCACCTGCTCCCCCGCTCCCGTGCTGCGGGTGCTCGGTGCGGTGGGGCAGGTCCCGGCCGACACCGGGCGCGCTCCCCGGGCAGCGGCCGCACCTCGGGGAGGGGCCGGGCAGGCGCGCGCTGTGCCGCGGGCTCGGGGCTCGCCGGCACGGCACGGCACGGCACGGCACGGCACGGCACGGCACGGCACG